CTGCCGGGGAGAAAGTGGCTAGTGAGATAAGCAGGAGGCGAGTGAGTTATCGAAAAGACTGTTTGAAGAATGGATATATATTTGTTTGAATTAAGAGAGGTTGATAAGATAGTTGGATCCTTTTATTGTCTGTGAATTGGTGCGTGTGATCAAAGGAGGGGGAGAAGGGGGGGAGGGAGGAAGAAGGGCTGCTGTTTCTGTCTCCCCCCCCTTTGAACTAGTTATTCCTTCCCGTCCCCCTCCTATATTAACCCTTCCTCCTCCCCCCACACTAACCCTTCCTCCCCCCCTTCTGAAGTAACCTTCCCTTGAATTACTCCCACCTCCCTTCCACCTAAACTACTCCCCCCCCCTGTAAGCTCCCAAAATAAGGGCTGGCCATACCGCTCTCTCCTGTGTGACGCGCCAGGAGCACTCTGAACCCCGGGGTACGAGGATATACCTCTAATATAAGCTGACGTAAGCGGCTTTCACTCACTGGGGGTCATGACCTTAAATGGGGAATGGTTTGTGTCCGGCGTTTTCTCTTAAAACCCTCTGTGTTGGCTAGTCCTTAGGCCGTCTAGAAAACATGTATGGCTTGAGGAGAAGACGAGCTGACTAGAAAACTAGGATCTTTCTGGGAAATGAACCGAGGTATTTTTTAAAGCCAGCTATTGAACTAGAAACTTATCGAAACCGGCAGTCCTGTGGCCATCTACAGATCCAGGGACGTTAGAGAACCGAACCGCTGTCTTTCTTTTGCCATAAACTTTTAGAGAAACCGAACAGATAACCAGCTAGAGAACTGAACTTTTAAAGAACCGAACCGAGGAGCCTCTATAGCATACTCGAGAATTGGGAACTTTTAAAGAACAGCGTCATCTTGCGTGGCTTTTAAAATATTCATAAGTAGTCACCTAAACGCTGGGGTAAAGCTGTTGAACCGATTGGGTCGTTATCGTCGATACTTTAACACATTAATATCACGCTTAGTGTATTCTATCGTTGCTATTTATTCTGCGGGAAATTTGTCATCATTATTAGAAAGGACACCGCCATTATCGTCAGTGTCGTTAACCTAATGAATATAATTATAAGAGTAAGGTTTATGGCTAATAGGAAACGCAATTATGTAATCGATGGAAATTAATCGTCAAGACTAGTAAAGAACTTTAACTTTTTCCATTAATGTAATCAGCGATCTCAAGCCAAGCTCAGTATTATAGTTGTGATAAATGGCCGACACGAAAAGATGACGGGAATAATCCTCTTTGCGATTAGAAAAATGGAGAGAGAGGGGGAGGGAGGAAGCACGGGGAGGGTGGAGGGAGGAAGGGATATGTGTGTATATATACATATATATGCATACATATATATATAGACACACATATATATGCATATATATATATATATATATATATATATATATATATATATATATATATATATATATATATGTATATGCATACACACACACACACACACACACACACACACACACACACACACACACACACACACACATATATATATATATATATATATATATATATATATATATATATATATATATAGATAGATAGAGAGAGAGAGAGAGAGAGAGAGAGAGAGAGAGAGAGAGAGAAAGAGAGAGGAATGTATGTAAAATAAAAGTAGAGATAAAAATGTCTCCTTCCGTTGCTGCTGTTTCCTTCTGCGCCGTCCTCCTCCTCCTCCTTCTCATTCTCTATCTTCCTACCTTCTTCTCCTCCTCCTTCTTCCCTCTCTTTTCCTTCGTCTTCGTCCTCGTTCTCATTCTATTATCTCCCTTCTTCTGTCCTCTCTTCCTACTCATTTCCTCTCTTCCTCCTCCTCCTTTTTTACCTTACTGTTCTTCCTACTTGTCACTCCCCCCTTCCCCTGTCAGTTCCCCCTCCCCCTCACCCCCTCTTTTCAACTTATTCCTTCTCGTCCTTGCTTTTATTTTCATCCGTACTGTTTCTCTTTTTCTTTCTTCCCCACTTCATCCTCCCTTCCTCTCTCCCTCTTCCCCCTTCTCATCCTTTCCCTTTTCATTACCTCATCTTTCTCATTCCCTTTCTTTTTCTTTCTTCTTCTCCTCCTCTTCCTCCTCTCCCGTTTTCCCTCCCCTTCCTCCTCTCCCTTTCTCTTGTATTTCCTCCTCTCTCATTCTCCTCTCTTTCCTCCTCTCTCCTCTTCCTCCCTCCCTCTCCTCTCCTCTCCCTCCCTCCCCTTCCTCCTCTCCCCTTTTTCTGTCTCTCTTCCTCTCTCATTCTCCTCTCTTTCCTACTCTCTCCTCTCCCTCCCTCCCTCTCCCTCTCCCTCCCTCCCTCTCCTCTCCCTCTCCCTCCCTCCCAGCCTGGTCGCCGCTGATAACGCGACCCGACACTATCGCCTTGTCACGCCATCACCATCTCGCTCTATCTCGCGTTATCTCGGGATTTTCGAGAAGTGATGGCGAGACATGGCTTAAGCGATTCGGGATTCGATTGTGGTGAGATTGGGAGAATGATTGGAGACTCGGGGTGATTGAGAGGGGGGGGGGTTAGGGGGAGGAGGGGAGGGAGGAAATAAGGAGCAATTGAGATAAATCGACGAAAATGTGTGGGAAAAAAGGAAGGCGAAACATGAAATGAAACAACTACAGTTACGAGGCAATCTTTTTTTTCTGTACAAATGTTACTGTGTGTTTTTTTTTCTTTGTATGTGTTTGTGTGCATGAGTGTTTCTGCAAAATATTGCGAAAAAGAAGGAAGGTTTGTATATATATTTATTCATCCATCCCCCCCTCCCCCTCACCTTCCATTACCTCCTGAAAAAGAAATATATGTGAGACGAAACTAAATTTAAAAAAAATGTAAAAAAAAAAATAAAAATTAAATAAAACAAAATAAAATGAAAAAGGAAAGAAAAAAAAGGAAGGGAAAAGAAAAGAAAAAGAAGAAACAAACAAACAAACAAGCGTCTGCCCTCGTCAATTTAAGAGTATATCAGACCAAAGACTAAATTGAAGAGGGATCTCTGCCAGCCGACCAACTCTTCTTGAAAAACTGGCCTTTATATTCAGGTTGCCGCTCTCTCTGTATCGAGATATTAAACCTTCCCCCAAAAAAGAGTCGCGGAAAATTTTCATTTGTATTTTTTTTTGGGCTTCTTTTGCTCCCGGTCTTTATCTCATCTTTGTTTGTTTATTTGTTTGTTTGTCTCTGATTTGTTTTCCCTTTTCTTTGCTCTCCCTTCCGCTTTATTTTTACGTTTTTTTCCCCGTCATGTTTCCTCCCATCCTCTCCTCCTCTCCCACTCCTTGCCTCTACGCTTCTCTTCTCTTTTTCTTTCTCCTTTTTAGTCTGAACTTGTATCCATTTCTTCTCTCTCCTTACATCGCTTCTTCCTCCCTCCCTATGTTATCTTTCTCCCTCTCTTTACCTCTCCTATTCTTCCTTGTTTTCCTTGTCTTCCTCTCCCTCCTCTTTCCCCTTCCCTACTTTACGCTATGGTCCCTTTCCCCTTTTCATTTTCTCCTCCCTCTTTTTTTTTCTTTCTTTCTCTTTACGGCTCTCTCATTCGTCTTAGTTTCCTTCACTTCTCTTAATACTGCCTCCGCTCCCTTCTCCTCCTCCTCCTCCTCCTCTTCTTTTCTCATCTCCCCTCACCTACTCACGACATTCGCCTCTTCCCTTTCTCTTGTCCTCTCCCCTCTCTCTGCTCTCTTTTTCTTTTCCCTTCTGCAACTCTGCCCTCCTCCTCGTCCTCCTTTCCCCATCAACCTTCTCTTCCCTTTCCCTTCCCCTCTTCCACTTTCCGCTATCCTCCCCTTTCCTTTTCCTTTCTCTCTGCCATCTTCTCTTCCTCCTCCTTCCCTTCCTCTTCCCTTTCCCTTCCTCTCTGCCACATTCTCCCCTCCTCTTCCTTCTCCCACTCTCCCTCTCTCTCATCTCCCCCTCTCCCCTCTCTCTCATCTCCCCTTTTCCCCTCTCCAACTATGCGAAATCGCGAACGGGCAATTATAGCCAATTACTCACCAAAACAAAACGACTCAAAAACTTTTCCACCGGTTGTTTACTTTCGTCCACAGAGACTCAGCTGAAGCGGAGGAGAGGGAATACTTGCAGGTGCCTTTTCGATTAAAAAAAAAAAAACTCTTTCTGTCTGTCTGTCTATCTGTCTGTCTGTTTGTCTGTCTGGCTGTCTCCTTTTAAGAGAGAGAGAGAGAGAGAGAGAGAGAGAGAGAGAGAGAGAGAGAGAGAGAGAGAGAGAGAGAGAGAGAGAGAGAGAGAGAGAGAGAAGAGAGTGAGAGAGAGAGAGAGAGAGAGAGAGAGAGAGAGAAAGAGAAAGAGAGATTAAGGGGAGTGCAACAGAGGAGAGAGGAGGCGAGGGGAGGAAGAGGAGGGGAAGGTAAAAGCAAGACAAGGGAGGATTAGAGAGAGGAGAAGAGGTAGAAAAGAAAGGACTGAGAGCAAGATAGATAAAGAACGAAAGGGGGAGACAAGGAAGCTAGAATAAAAGAAGGATAATCCCGTTAAACAAAGTCAAAAGAGGAAACAGGAAATTGAAAGACAAACAGAGAGACGAGCAAGAGGAAATTCACGGAAATAGAGGAAAAAAGAAATTGAAAAAGAAAGGGGATGAGAAAAAATGACTAAAATAACAAAATTGAAAATAAAATGGAAAATAAAAATTTAAAGTGGGACTATTGTTAAGACAGGCAGACAGACATACAATGAACAGACAAACAAAAATAGTTAGAGAGAGAATAACTCAGTTATATCTATATCATATTATTATATTCTACATATTCAAAAAAAAAAACCTTACATGTTTGTCACATATCTTCACACATACATATACATATGCATATGCTCATGATCATGTTTGAACTGAATTTTCATCTCCTCTTACCACACTAGACATCCCAGTGTTGTGTTGTCTATCCCTTTCCGCAAGACCTATGAATTGATTTAATACTTCCTTGTTAATCACCGGTTGTTACATGCTAAATACGTGACTTGTAGCGATCTTTAGACCATTGTAGGAGATGACAGGCAGGCTCCTTGCGGGGAGCCAAGGCGCAGCCGCACTCCTTCATTACTCTACAATAAAGAAGTCAAGATATTTTGGTTGTCTACCTTACACCTTCAGCTCGCCACCTACCATACTCTTGTAAGGCCCATCATCTGGGTTCCTACAAAGACACACACACACACACACACACACACACACACACACACACACACACACACACACACAGAGAGAGAGAGAGAGAGAGAGAGAGAGAGAGAGAGAGAGAGAGAGAGAAGCAGACAGACAAACAGTTGGACAAACAGACTGACAGATAGGCAGACAGACAAACTGACAAAGACAGAGAGACACGGAGGTCACCACGAAATGAAAAGGCCTAATCCACAGAGAAAAGGAGGAGGGGAAAAAGACCGCAAAAAACCAAGCCGCCGCAAAAGGAAGGACCAAGCCAATGAAGAGGCTGATGAAGACTCCGGTTCTTAAAGAGAGATTAGATTACTCATTAGCAAACGCTACAATTTTTTTTAAACCTCGCTCTTTTTTTTCTTCTTCTTCGTCTTCTTTCTCTCTCTCTCTCTCTTTTCTCTCTCTTTCCCTCTCCCTTCCCCCTTCCTCCCGTCCCCCCCAATCTCAAAATCTCCCACCTTTCCTCCTTCCCTCCCTCTCCCATTTCCTTCTGTTTCTTTCTCTCTCTCTCTCTCTTTCTCCCTCTCCTTCCCCACTCCCTCCCTCCTTCCCTCCCTCCCCCCTCCCCCTCTCTCCTCCTCCCTCTCTCCCTCCTTCCCTCCCTCCCCCCTCCCCCCTCCCCTTCCCTCTCCCCCTCCCTCTCCCCTTCCACCCCTCCTCCTCCCTCTCCCCTTCCCTCCTTCCCTCCCTCCCTCTCCCCTTCCACCCCTCCTCCTCCCTCTCCCTTTCCACCCCTCCTCCCCCCTCTCTCCCTCTACCTTTTTCCCCCCCTCAACCCTTTCGCCGAGTCTCATTTTGTTCCCGCAAATTGGAGTTTACTTATGAACGACGCGGAGAATCTCGCCACTTTGTCCAGGGTTTCCCGCCGCTGTTTGTCTGGCGTGTGTCTATTTGCGTGACGTTTTGTCTGCTCGTCTGTCTTGCTTGTTCTTGCTTGTTGCTTCTTCCGTTGCTTCGTCCGTTTGGTTTTTCTGTTGCTTCTTCTGTTGCTTCTTCCGTTAGTTTTTCCGTTACTTTTCCCGTTACTTCTGTTGCTTTTTCCGTTGCTTATTCTGTTGCCTTTCCCGTTACTTCTGTTGCTTCTCCCGTTGCTTCTTCCGTTGCTTCTTTTGTTGCTTTTCCGTTACTTCTGTTGCTTCTTCCGTTGCTTCTTCTGTTGCTTCTCCCGTTGCTTCTTCCGTTGCTTTTTCCGTTGCTTTTCCTGTTGCTTTTTCTGTTGCTTCTTCTGTTGCTTTTTCCGTTCCTTCTTCTGTTGCTTCTTCCGTTGCTTCTTCTGTTGCTTCTTCCGTTGCTTCTTTTGTTGCTTTTCCCGTTACTTCTGTTGCTTCTTCCGTTGCTTCTTCTGTTGCTTTTTCCGTTCCTTCTTCTGTTGCTTCTTCCGTTGCTTCTCCCGTTGCTTCTTCTGTTGCTTCTTCCGTTGCTTCTCCCGTTGCTTCTTTTGTTGCTTTTCCTGTTGTTTCTTCTGTTGCTTCTTCCGTTGCTTCTTCTGTTGCTTCTTCCGTTGCTTCTTCTGTTGCTTCTTCTGTTGCTTTTCCTGTTGCTTCTTCTGTTGCTTCTTCCGTTGCTTCTTCTGTTGCTTCTTCCGTTGCTTCTTCTGTTGCTTCTTCCGTTGCTTCTTTTGTTGCTTTTCCCGTTACTTCTGTTGCTTCTTCCGTTGCTTCTTCTGTTGCTTTTTCCGTTCCTTCTTCTGTTGCTTCTTCCGTTGCTTCTCCCGTTGCTTCTTCTGTTGCTTTTTCCGTTGCTTCTTCTGTTGCTTCTTCTGTTGCTTCTTCCGTTGCTTCTCCCGTTGCTTCTTTTGTTGCTTTTCCTGTTGTTTCTTCTGTTGCTTCTTCCGTTGCTTCTTCTGTTGCTTCTTCCGTTGCTTCTTCTGTTGCTTCTTCTGTTGCTTTTCCTGTTGCTTCTTCTGTTGCTTCTTCCGTTGCTTCTTCTGTTGCTTCTTCCGTTGCTTCTTCTGTTGCTTCTTCCGTTGCTTCTCCCGTTGCTTCTTTTGTTGCTTTTCCTGTTGCTTCTTCTGTTGCTTCTTCTGTTGCTTCTTCTGTTGCTTCTTCTGTTGCTTTTTCCGTTGCTTCTTCTGTTGCTTCTTCTGTTGCTTCTTCCGTTGCTTCTTCTGTTGCTTCTTCCGTTGCTTCTCCCGTTGCTTCTTTTGTTGCTTTTCCTGTTGCTTCTTCTGTTGCTTCTTCCGTTGCTTCTTCCGTTGCTTCTTCCTGTTGCTTCTTCTGTTGCTTTTCCTGTTGCTTCTTCTGTTGCTTTTCCTGTTGCTTCTTCTGTTGCTTCTTCCGTTGCTTCTTCTGTTGCTTCTTCCGTTGCTTCTTCCTGTTGCTTCTTCTGTTGCTTTTCCCGTTGCTTCTTCTGTTGCTTCTTCCGTTGCTTCTTCTGTTGCTTCTTCCGTTGCTTCTTCTGTTGCTTCTTCCGTTGCTTCTTCCGTTGCTTCTTCTGTTGCTTCTTCCGTTGCTTCTTCTGTTGCTTCTTCCGTTGCTTCTTCTGTTGCTTCTTCTGTTGCTTCTTCCGTTGCTTCTTCTGTTGCTTCTTCCGTTGCTTCTTCCGTTGCTTCTTTTGTTGCTTTTCCTGTTGCTTCTTCTGTTGCTTCTCCCGTTGCTTCTTCTGTTGCTTCTTCCGTTGCTTCTCAGTTGCTTCTTCTGTTGCTTCTTCCTGTTGCTTCTCCGTTGCTTCTTCCGTTTCTTCTTCTGTTGCTTCTTCCGTTGCTTCTTCCGTTGCTTCTTCCGTTGCTTCTTCCGTTGCTTCTCCCGTTTCTTCTTCTGTTGCTTCTTCCGTTGCTTCTCCCGTTGCTTCTCCCGTTGCTTCTTCTGTTGCTTCTTCTGTTGCTTCTCCCGTTTCTTCTTCTGTTGCTTCTCCCGTTGCTTCTTCCGTTGCTTCTCCCGTTGCTTCTTCTGTTGCTTCTTCCGTTGCTTCTCCCGTTGCTTCTTCTGTTGCTTCTTCCGTTGCTTCTCCCGTTGCTTCTCCCGTTGCTTCTTCTGTTGCTTCTCCCGTTGCTTCTCCCGTTGCTTCTTCTGTTGCTTCTCCCGTTGCTTCTCCCGTTGCTTCTCCCGTTGCTTCTCCCGTTGCTTCTTCTGTTGCTTCTTCCATTGCCTCTTCTGTTGCTTCTCCCGTTTCTTCTTCTGTTGCTTCTGCTGTTGCTTCTTCCGTTGCTTCTCCCGTTGCTCTTCTGTTGCTTCTTCCATTGCTTCTTCCGTTGGCTTCTTCTGTTGCTTTTCCGTTGCTTCTTCCGGTGCTTCTTCTGTTGTTCTCCCGTTGCTTCTTCTGTTGCTTCTTCGTTGCTTCTCCCGTTGCTTCTCCCGTTGCTTCTTCTGTTGCTTCTTCTGTTGCTTCTCCCGTTGCTTCTTCCGTTGCTTTTCTGTTGCTTCTTCAGTTGCTTCTTCCGTTGCTTCTTCCGTTGCTTCTTCCTGTTGCTTCTTCCGTTGCTTCTCCCGTTGCTTCTCCGTTGCTTCTTCCGTTGCTTCTCCCGTTGCTTCTCCGTTGCTTTTCTGTTGCTTTTCCGTTGCTTCTTCTGTTGCTTCTCCCGTTGCTCTTCTGTTGCTTCTCCCGTGCTTCTCCCGTTGCTTCTTCCTGTTGCTTCTTCAGTTGCTTCTTCCGTTCTTCTTCTGTTGCTTCTCCCGTTGCTTCTCCGTGCTTCTTCCGTTGCTTCGTCTGTTGCTTCTTCCGTTGCTTCTCCCGTTGCTTCTTTTATTGCTTCTTCCATTGCCTCTTCTGTTGCTTCTCCCGTTGCTTCTCCCGTTGCTTCTTCTGTTGCTTCTCCCGTTGCTTCTCCCGTTGCTTCTCCCGTTGCTTCTCCCGTTGCTTCTTCTGTTGCTTCTTCCATTGCCTCTTCTGTTGCTTCTCCCGTTGCTTCTTCCGTTCCTTCTTCTGTTGCTTCTTCCGTTGCTTCTCCCGTTGCTTCTTTTATTGCTTCTTCCATTGCTTCTTTCGTTTCGTCTTCCGTTCCTTCTTCTGTTGCTTCTTCCATTGCTTCTTCCGTTTCTTCTTCCGTTGCTTCTGTTGGTTTTCCGTTGCTTCTTCTGTGCTTCTTCTGTTGCTTTTCCTGTTGTTCTTCTGTTGCTTCTTCCGTTGCTTCTTATGTTGCTTCTTCCGTTGCTTCTTCTGTTGCTTCTTCTGTTGCTTCTTCCGTTGCTTCTTCTGTTGCTTCTTCTGTTGCTTCTTCTGTTGCTTCTTCTGTTGCTTCTTCCGTTGCTTCTTCCGTTGCTTCTTCTGTTGCTTCTTCTGTTGCTTCTTCTGTTGCTTCTTCTGTTGCTTCTTCCGTTGCTTCTTCTGTTGCTTCTTCCGTTGCTTCTTCTGTTGCTTCTTCCGTTGCTTCTTCTGTTGCTTCTTCCGTTGCTTCTTCTGTTGCTTCTTCCGTTGCTTCTTCTGTTGCTTCTTCCGTTGCTTCTTCTGTTGCTTCTTCCGTTGCTTCTTCCGTTGCTTCTTCCGTTGCTTCTTCTGTTGCTTCTGTTTTTTTTTGTCTAATTATTCATCTGCACATCTGTTTCTCTATCTTCAATGCTAGTCATATGTTGTATATGCCCTCTGTATATGGTTACATACACATATGAATACTATATTATATATTATGTATGCATGTTTATTATACATATACAAAACACTAGTTATTTATCCACCTTTAATAATGTTAAAGAAATTATCTATCTATCTATCTATTATCTATCTATCTATCTATATATCGACCTATCTATCTATCTATCTACTATCTATCTATCTATCTATCTATCATCTATCTATCTATCATCTATCTATCTATCTATATATCGACCTATCTATCTATCTATATATCTACCCATATGTCTTCCCTCCCATATGATTT